GAACACACTTGTAATTAAAATTATACTATTAATGCAATGGATGATGTTGTTGCTTGTTTACTACTTTACATTGTTGTGATACATTACATGACATCCTCTGCCCCAGAACGATTATGTCGTTCTCAGTTTTGGGGTGTGACAATCCAGACATACCAATGTCTCATCACTGATAAGTGTCTTACCTTCTGCAGTAATATGGAAACCATAATAATGCTCAGGTCCATTCCTAAACCTTGTGGAATGCCTCAGAGGTTCATACTTGTCAATTCGCTCAACATGAGTTTTCTCCTCAGGTTGAGTGCTAGGGTTTGAAGTTCCTTCACCACTTGAATCTTGAATTTTTTTCAAGGTCAATTTTCCTCCCATTGTTTCCTTGGCTTATGAACTCTCTCTCTCTCTCTCTCTCTCTCTCTCTCAAGACACCCCTCCTTGATACAAAGACCACATTGTCACTAGGTCTGTAGAAGAGGTAACAAAAGGATTTTTATGCGTAGCCGATGAAAATATACATCTCACTTCGAGGTTTGAGCTTATCATGAGTCTCGCGTCTCACGAAAGCCTCGCAACCCCAAATCCTGATGTGGTCTAGTTTGGGAACTTTACCAGTCCACATCTCATGAGGAGTTTTGGCAACTTTCTTTGTAGGGACTAGTTTAAAGATATGGGCAGCAGTCTCTAAGGCATACCCCCAAAACGAGATTGGTAACGAAGCTCGACTCATGATGGAATGAACCATATCCAGCAAGGTTCGATTACGCCTCTCAGCCACACCATTCAACTGTGGGATCGTGGGAGGTGTCAATTGTGAGATAATCCCACATTCCTTAAGATAGTCGAGGAACTCTATACTATGATACTCATCAACACGATCGGACTGAAGCATTGTAATGTTCCTGCCCAATTGATTCTCAAATTCTTGTTTAAACTCTTTAAACCTTTCAAAAGTCTCTGACTTATTCTTGATTAAATAGACATATACATATGTACTATAATCATCAATAAAAGTCAAATAATAATGATTAGCATCCCTTGTGGCAGATTTGAAGGGTCCACACACATTCGTGTGCACTAGATCCCACAAACCTTCACCCCTAGCACAAGAACCAATGAAGGGTGACTTTGTCATTTTTCCAAGTAAGCATGATTCACACCTATCATCTGATTTTATGTCAAATGACTCCAAGACTCCATCCTTTTCGAGTTGGCCTATGCGTTTCTTGGTCACATGTCCAAGACGATAATGCCATAATGATGTTATATCCAAGTTATTATTATCAGAAGAATCAATACACAACACATTATTTCATATGTTATCTACAACAGATACAGCTTCATACACACCATCACAAGGTAATGCTTTAAAATAAAGAACATTATTAAAGAAAGCTTTTATTTTACCATTTTCATTATCAAAAGAAAAGGTAACCCTTGTTTGTACAAAGCATGAAAGGAAATAATACTTCTTGCCATTTCTGGCGAATAACAACATTTATTCAAATCTAAAGTAAACCCACTACTTAGCAACAAAGAATAAACTCCAATATTGGTAACAGGTGAAGCTTTCCTATTCCCCATGATCAAGTTTATCGTTCCAAGCTCCACATTCTCACTTCTTCTTAGTCCCTGCAAATCAGAACAGATATGAATACCACAACCGGTATCAAGGACCCAAGAGTTAGAATAGGGTGATTTATTAGATAGAATATTGTGAAGACCTGCATGGTTGGGTTTAACTTTCCCATCCTTCACATCTTGCTGGTACTTTGGGCAGTTCCGCTTCCGATGCGACTTTTCATGACAATAGAGCATTCAGCCTCTTTTTGGTCAGAAGAAGGAGTGACGAAACCTTTCTTGGTTCCACTTGAAGAAGAGCCATCAAGGGTCCTAGCCTTGGTACCCTTCGAAGATCTCTTCCTCTTCTTCTCTCTACCTTTCACGATTGCGAAGACAGGGGCATAGTTTGGAGTAGGAGTAAGAGTGTTAACAACCGACTTACCTTTAAGACCTATTTATGCGGTCTTTAGGAGTCCTTGAAGTTTTCTGAGTGTGACTTCTTCCTTGTTCATGTGGTATGTCATGCGGAATTGATCATAACACGAGGGTAAGGAGTGCAACATAATATCTATTGCAAGCTCCTCAGGGAAGTTCACATTAAGCTTCAGCAAAGGATCCACATACCTTTGCATTTTCTGCATGTGGCTCGTGACGGAATCTCCGTCCTTCATCCTGGTTGATATCATGGAGGAAATTATTTCATAACGCTCTTGATGAGCACTCTGATTGTATCTTTCCATCATATCTTGGTGCATCTCAAAAGGGTAGTAGTCCTCATAGGACTTCTGGAGTTCAGCTATCATGGTGGCCATCATGATGCATGCCATTTTGGTGGTATCTCTTTCATGAGACCGAAAGTCAGCGATCTCTTGGGGAGTAGCAGTGAACTCATCGATCTCCTTTAGCTCCTTATCGAGGACATATTTCGTGTCCTCGTAACGAGTCACCATCCTGATGTTCCGGATCCTATCTATAAAGTTGAAACCATCAAAGATGACCCTACCACATAGGTTCATGAGGGAAAAGGAGCCAGTAGGGTTTGAGCCAGAAGCAGTGTTGTTGGAAGACATCTTGAAAAGAAAAGAACAAGTTTAGTTTAGATATAAAGATTTTCCTTAATAAAACACCCAAATGTAGTATTAAGTCTAGGATCCAATCACAATATATCATAACTTAGAAGAGGGATGTCGTAATCTAAACTATAACATATTTGAAAGGTAGGTGAATGACGATTCACCAATTTCCACCAAAAAACGAAATATAAATTATTAGGTTTTAATTTGATCTTAGAAATTCCTAGATTCTTTTCAGATTCAATGAACTTTTCAAAGGCATGTTTCAATCTCGAGTGTGCCCTCCAAGTTTTGTGACTGGGATACCGAGGATCACAAAACGATGTGTGAAGTAACCATGCAAATCACTTGGTACCCTTAAAGTTTATCACTCAATAGATGTGCCGATTAACCACACGTGCTCCACCGTCCTATAATAAACTTTAAGTCACCCTTTACCTACCTTGTTCAGTCCAGGTTAGTGTGCTGGGTTAACCACACACACTCAACTAACGACTTAAACAAAGTGTAAAGTGTAATTTCATGGATTAGCACCTTATTCACATTTTCCTAAAGTAACTAAGATTCGGAATTTAATAAAACATTTAGTTACTTTATAATATTCATCATACAATTAATGAGAATTTATAAGTCCTTGTCCTACCCATTCGGCTAACGACCCTCCACCAGTCAAGGAAGTGGTGGGTGTGAATGGACACCCATTAAGCTGCCATTTTATAGGCAGCAACCTTGTACCCCCCCCCCCCCCGGTATAGACCGACTTCGTGAATGAGGCCTACTAATCGTAACACGACTTGCTCTTATATATATATATATATTAACTTATAATATTATAAAGTATAAGGATTGATTTTTAACTTTTAAAAATCTAGGGGTTGGAACTAAAGTTTATTAAGTGACTTTACATGTTCCAAAACTTGAGGGAAAGTTTTGTAACTTTACAAAACCTTTCAAATTCATAACTTATGAGTTATTAAAATGTAGACACTTCATTTTATAACTTATGTGTTCTTTTAATGGTTTTTAATACAAAGAGACTTTTGATTATCCATAACTTGAGGACAAGTTATGGACTCCATTAAAACAGATAAAGATCATGAATTAAACATTTAAACAAGTTATTCCTATGATCTATCAAAAACTCATAAGAACATGAATATTCATATCAAAGTTTCAAGAACATATGAACACATAAGATCATGAAAAAATGATATTAGCCATCGCAAATGAATTAGAACAACCATTACACCATCTAAAATACGTTTTACAACACCAAAACAGTTTAGGGTAATGTGTCTAGTCCATTTCCAACGGCAAAAATCAAAATTCTACACCCTGCTTGGCCAACTCATTGAGTGCACGAACTGACTCGCCGAGTTGGTTGCATTTTCACTTCGACTCGTCGAGTCCTCCCCATGGACTCGTCGATTCCCCTGTGCAGACAACTCAAAATTCGATTTTTTACACTATTTTGCATCAAGTATTAACAAACAAGCCTATGCTCTTATACCACTGATGGGTTTTGAGCATTCTAACACCCATAAGTGTACATGATACCCTAGAAAACCTTGGATCTATGTTTGTCTCAAATACATGCAAAATATGATTTCCAAGGTTCATAATCCAACCTAGCATACGTGGGGAACTTTTAATATAAAAGATGGCTAGAATTACATACCTTGTACTTGATTTGATTCTTTGAAAACCTTGAGAGCCTAGCACCCCAAGTGTGATGCCTCAAATGATTCACACAACACCAAATGCTTTGGAATAACTTTAGAGCATGTATAACATTTGTAAAAATTGGCCAAGCCCTCTCTTAATCTTAGAATAGCCAATTTTGGTGAGTATCATATTCCTTATATAGTGTGTCACATCTAGGGTTACACCATGTAAACCCTAATGTGACATGACTCTTCATTTCCATGACCCATGGGTTTGTAACTCGCATAGAGCATCCTATGGGTTTAACCCAACTTGATAATCCATGGAGCCTTTAGCCCACTATACACATATATTTAATTAGTCATCTTTTGATCAATTAATTAATTCCAAATTAATTCTTGATCAATACTAATTAAATGATACTATTAATATATTAGAGCTTATAATATTTTAATAAACCACAAGTGTTATTTCTCTCATTTAGTCTATCTAAATGCGTGATGCCATGCAACCCAAATGGACCATGCCGGGTCGGGTCAAGTGCAGACCAAATATAGTTATGGACTTAGACACCTTATCCAACACTTCTTGCATTGGTCAGACGACTCTTTGTTTGAAGAAGAAGATTCAGACAACAAAGTTTCATTATCCAAAACTTCAAGGTCTAGTTCTTCACTATTTTACTCCACCACTCTTTCATTTCTATCCTTACCCATTCAGCATCCTTTCAATGTTCAAATAAAAATCTTTCATGTTAACATCAACGTCCTCCACCATATTGTCTTTAACAATAAGATCCACACTATCATCATAATCATTGCCTTCATTATTATCACTATCATCATACTCACTGCCTTTGTTCACATCGTCTTCCCTTATATCCCCAATATCTACCCCTTTGTTCATATACTCTTCCCTTATGACATCCCCTTTCCAGCCTAACAAAAGTCTTTGAGAGCAAGATGAAGGCTTAATTATCTCATGTATTCTAACTTTAGAGTGATTAGGGGACATTTCATATATATTCAAACTGGTATTTCCTTGCTCAATGTAAACTTCAATGAGCTTATGTTTAGACATATACGACCGTAAATGACAAATATCATGATCACTACCCTACAAAAATAATCCGAAATCCAAATCAGATAGAAGTCGTCTAAAATGATAATACAGACGAATACCATCTTCAACATACCCAAGTTCAAGCATTATTTCATCTATGTCATAGGTAGAGAAAGTATCATTGTTGCTTTAGTCCACATATATTTGCTTCCCTTTAACGTTACTTTCTTCCTAAAAAATATGTAAACTCTCCACCATGAAAAAATAAATCAAGAAAATTTCTGGATGTCCTACTAGGAAAGAAACTAACGTCAATATATGCTTGACGTCAGATGACACATTCAATGAAACTAGCACCATACTGAAAGAAAGCTTACCATAACAATGTACAATGTCGATTTCATTCATACTAGCACGTATCAACCAATTTACCATCGGTTATCTTGAAGAATAAGGTTTTTGCATCTAGGGATTTTGGAACTTATTGTTGGGTTAAGGGTTATCAAAAGAAGTAAGAAGAAAATATGGGGTGGATGTTTTGACGCTTCATATCATCGCTAATCGTGGGTATATAACAACCAAATGGAAAAGACAAAAATACGAACAAGTGTCTGACAGATGAGGAGTTGTAACAGAGAAATGAGACAGAAACAAGACGGAGGGACTAGGCGGGTTAAAAACTTTTGACTCTAAGGATGGTTCAAGTTTAGAAAATAAATTAGGGACCCTCAGTAAAAACTGAAAAGTATCCCAAACCACAAGGACCATCCGTGTAACTTACTAAAAAAAATAGCGATTAAGATAATTGAAAGTTTAAGTCTAGTCTATAATTTCTATTGCATTTATTAAAATAAAAAATGAACACTATTAAATTTTAAAAAATAATCCAAATTGCTTCTGAATTTACAATCCATTTTAAGACGAAAGAGATATTAAATCTGTTAAAACTAAAAGGGTTTTTTGTCCAGCGGTATACGATGTTGTTTTTCCTCTTTGAGATTGAGAGTTCAAGTCTCGTTGGAGACATAAATGGAATAATTTAAAAGTAATTTAGTATATATTTTTATTTTGCCGTTAAAATAGACAAAATTGATATTTAATTATTTTTAATCTTCCGATTCTCATTTATTCCGTTCACACATGAACAACCGCAATACTTTGTATGGACCGTGTGTAATGAATCAGGACCATATGCATTAAATTTTGAACCACAACTGTCATTTTATTAAGAAACTTTCATTGTATTAAAATAGAAACTGAACACTATCAAAATAGAACGGCAAGATAATTGGAACCTTTTATTTATTTTTAGACAAAATATCATAAATGGTGTGGTTTTTAAAAATTTAGGATATGGTCTCTAAGTTTAGAAAATTTTATAGATGATCCATATAGTTCTAAAACTTTTAAAAAAATAGTTTATCATCCATATAAAAAGACTTACATGCCTATTTTAATATATTTTTGATTATTTTATTTAAATCTATTAAAATAATAATAATAATAACTTCACATCCTCCCATCTCGGTTTTCTAATCACCACCGGTACATTGTGGTTCTTCTTCCTTGATTAGAACTCAATGATGCAACCAGTAACATTGCAGATATGTTGTTATCTCTTTCTCATGATGAAAGAAGAACATCGACTTATCTTCTTGTTAATCCTCACTTCCTAATTAATCTATGACAACTTGTCTTCTTCATACTCATCTTACCATTCCAATTTCAAAGATCATTTCAATCTCCCCGAAAGTTAGAGTACAAAGTACAAATCCGATATACTAAACCCTAGACGAGAATCCAATCGAAAACCAGCATCACAACTCATGTATACCTCTTCACCATCGACATTCACAAATAAATTGAGAATAATCATTATTCTTTATCCAAAAAGTTGTACACATAGATCAACACATATTTTTCATTTTCCTATTCTAAAGTAAAAATAATGAAACTTGTGATAGAACATTTCTCAGAAATCTTGATGTGGTTTCTGGTAGCTTACATCCTCCTCCTACTCAGCCCTTCTCTAATTTCATTGTTGTTCTTGTAGGTTATATTTCAAATCTATCTATTTCAATAGAAGAAGGGGTGTGATTTTACTGGAGTAATCGATTTTAAGATATATGTGCACCAATCGATCTAGGTTTCTTTGGAATCGACACCAAAATATGATAGCGAGAGAGAGAGAGAACAATAGACTCTTATTTTTCTAATTATTTAAATAAATAAATATGTATTGGATTTTTAAAAAATGAAAGAAAATTATAAAATCAATACCTAAGGGTATTAAAGTCATTTCAGTTTACCGAGGGACCAAATCCACAACCAAACTAGCTCAAAAGGACCACGAATCCAAAAAAACCGGGGTTTGAATCAAACTCGAAAAACATGCATACTACAAGGACGATTTTTGAAGTTTTTTCTTCTTCTTCTTTAAATAGATTTAAGACAAAAGTTCATAATTGGTCCTTGTAGTTTGCAAAATCTTTCACTTTGATGACTTCAATGAAAAACATAATGCCCTTGCTCCATATGGTTTAAAAAATTATATCAATGGTCCTTCGAGCATTAACTTTAAGTTTTGACTAGTAAGTTTTTTTCTAAATGACCAAAAGACCATCGGATCAAATCTGAAAACTATATATACATCAAGGATCAATTCTAAAAATTTGATAAGTTTTTTTCATCACTTTCATAAGTTTTTTTTACCTTTTTGATTTTTTCTTTCTATTTTTTATAATTTTAGTTATTTATGGATTTTCTAATATTTTTATTCATTTTGATTCAAGTAAATGAACGCAAATTCGATAAATTATGTCAGAACTATTTTTATTTAATTTTTCTTATTTGTAAATTGAACCGGTAATGTTTTTTTAATTTTATTTTGTTAATGTTCATTTTTTACTTGGATGATCCACCAAATAATCGAAGTTGTTATTTCTATTTATGTAAAATAATAATTAGGTTAAATTTTATATTGATTTATATGTTTTAAAATTTTCCATAATTATTATCGTTAGCAATTTTAAGTTTGCAATTCTTATTATCAATATTTGACCATTTTTTTCATTTGCTACTAAAAATTTCGATTTTTAAATTAATAAAACAATATCATAGAAACTATGGTGAATCAAAGTGTATCAATAAACATCCAAGTACATCAGAATAATATAAAATGGTGAACAATATGGTGTGTGCACTGCAATTATCCCGGGCTCTTCCCATTTGAACCAAAAGTACCTAAAACATAAAATGAAAATTGTAAGCACAAAATTTAGTTAGTTTCCATAAATATCACATACCATACACATCAAACATATAATGGGCCCCGCCCAACATCGAGCCCCGCTTAGAACAAATCTGTCAATCATCAGGTCCCGCCTGGCATCGGGCCACGCCCGGTATACATACAAACATATAAACACATGCAAAAATCACAAAGATAAATAACATATAATATAATCATCAGGCCCCACCCGGTATACATATAATCACATAATAAATGCAAGAGTCACGAGGATAACTAGCATCCTAAATGTAATAAACCATGAGCCAACATTGGTGCTTTCAACCCGCTAAACACAGTAAGGAAACTCACATCAAGCTGATGAATCTCTGTAACGACCCAAATTTTCAAAGTAAATTTTTTTCATTATTAATTAATCAAACACATTTCCATAAAACATGAAATCCCAAAACAATTGTTTTCAAATCCACATGCATTACAACTTTATTTAAAAACATCATAGTGTCCCATAAAATATCGTTGAGAGAGTGCACATCGCACCATCAAGCCTTGACTTTGCCCTTGGGCTCAGATGTACCTAAAATAAATCCTCAAACTGTAAGCTAATGCTTAGTGAGTTCCCTAGAGCATACCCACATATAAACTACATAAAACATATCATACTAGCTATAACAGCTATACATATCACATAAGTCATGCATACAATAGATTGGGATGTTGTGGGCTCGTCCCTAGGGTCTTACTCCAGGATGCCATGGGCTCTTCACATGGTCTTAGACCTAAGTGCCATGGGCTCTCCCATGGTCTTTTATAGGAAAACCATGGGCTCTCCACGTGGTCTTACATCCTGTTGCCATGGGCTCTCCACATGGTCTTTAGTAGGAATGTCATGGGCTCTCCACATGGTCTTACAATCAGGTGTCATGGGCTCTCCCATGGTCATCCATATAAGCATACAACTAGCATATAATCAGTTACCATGTCTCACAATATAACTTCATCCATAGTATCACATATCATAGATGGTCCGACCTTGGTGCCTTCAACCCATTGGTATGGTGAGGAGACTCACTTATTTCTGAAGAATCCGTAAGCTGCTCCTCTAACAGCCCATAACCACCCATGCTAAATAATAATAATAACATTACCCAATGTTAGGATCAACACCAATTAAGTGGATAACCCAAACCTCAAGTCCTTTCATAAAGGCCCAAGTAGTCTTCATTTGTTAATGGGCCCAAAGTCTATGTCCAAAATCATTAATGCGTTAAGCACAAATAGACTATATAAAAGGACCCTTGTCCTCTGGAAGAAGGGATCATCTCTCTCTCTCTCTCTACGTCTCTAATTAAACCCTAATTCCCTCATACAACTTCTGAATAGACTATCGAAGTCTTGTTTTGGGACCCCCCCCCCCTCCAAGACAACGACCAACGTCAGCTCTTTCTTTGATGTGATTCTCAGACGACGCAACCCACAAAATGCGTTAAGCACGAAGACATATCACAACATTTGGTGCCATCTAGGCATGTACTCAGAGTTACAAAACCTTAATACGTCCATTAAACGACCGAAATGACAGGAAAGGCACCTGCGGAATACGACGAGGGAGAAACGAGCCCACTAAGATCAATGTCGTCTCTCGATGGCACACAACCATCTATCTCAGACGAACAATCCTCCATCCACACGTTAACAACAT